CACTCATTATATTCATCTCAATTATACTATGAAAAAATAATGGTTCTACTATTTTCACTTGATTATTCTGATTGCAATGTCCGAGAAGAGGGTAAAAAGCCAGATAAATAGCAAATTGATTGTCTAAAGAAAAATCTAACATCAATTGATGAAGATTTAGGTAGCTAAGTATAAATAAAGTAATATCACAGCGGTTTGAATCGGAACGTAATTAATGCTTATCAGAAATGTATGCCCTCTCCTTTGGCGAGAAATTACGCTAATGCTTGTGAATGAGCACGAATCACTTGCAAATGTTTTAAAAAAACAGAGGGAAAACATAGCTAAAAGACAAAACAACAATTACAACAACGTCTGTAGCCAATCGAACGTTCCCCTGAAAGAACTCCTTCAAATTGGAAAGAGCACTACAGAAATTATAAGGATCTTGAAGGCTGATGTGTTTCAGTCAACATGGATTCTGGGACGATGGCCGATCCCTAGAAAATGATGGTGTGAGTGGGTAGCTGAGACATCATGGTTCTACGTCCACCTTCCTAACGAAACTTTGCGAAAACTCTCTGCGATATTGATCTGTCAATCGCGAGGAAAAAAAAAAAAGAAGAATGTACGAGGTATGTCTACTTCAGGTATAGAGCCAAGGAACTTCTTATCAATAATGCAGTGTAAAACTCGTTTACAGCTTAAATGTCAAAATTGGAGTGTTTCAACGTATGCATGAATTTGATGATCACGTACATGCCACTTCTTTTTGTAGATATCCAGTTGGTTAACAACACTTTGAGGACCATAACAGTGTCAGATTGTTTCGATTGTGTCGCTGCTTGCCTGGCTGAACCGCATTGCTGCTCTGTAAATTTCAAACTTGCCGACGATTTATCGATATGCAATCTTAATCGACGCTGCCGTAGAGAAACAGTTAAGGATGGATGTCTTATGAAAACTGAGCGCTCTGTTTATTTTGAACTTTCAGATACCAAGGGACGTTCTTCGGTAAGGGGAGTTATCAGGGTTAAATTGTATCCTGCAAATTTTTGGTCCTGCAATGTCTCAATTTCATGGTTTATATATGTTAAAACAGTTTAAACCTCGCGTTAATTCATCGTTTGTAATCGTTTGAATCTTCTCCATCTTTGTCCCAACTTGATATACCATTACACATCTTGTGTTTTCCTCTGTCACCGAACTTATATTGTGAAGTCCCCTGCAAGTTCCAGACAGCTTTTCTCCGCCAAAAAAAATTGATCTAAATATCGATACCCAAGCTCTTTTTCCATCGATAATAAAGACTACACCAACAGAATCTCAGTAAGACGTATGACAGCAATAACGTGCTGCATGCCTTATGCGTTGCTCTGATGTTTTCATGTAGAGTGAATAGACGTCTTACGGGCTTTCCTCATGGACAAATTTCGCGATACGAACCTGAATACTTACTACTTCTGAAACCCTTAGGATTTCCGAATAGGGGAGTAATCCAAAACATAAGTTAAGAGGGATTACCTTAAGATAACGGGTGTAGAAGGGACTCAGTATCTAGAGATTTTCTCCTCTGTACCATTTTGTGAAGTGTCATTGATTGCTGTGTCTGTTGTGTTGCTCTTGTATTTGCTTTGATAGGATGGGGATGCGTGTGAATCTTCACCGTGTTTAAACGGTGGCAGTTGCGTTTTGACAGACCCCTGCAATGGCTACAAGTGCGTGTGCTACACTGAAAACACTGGGGAACACTGTGAATATTGGATAGGTTAGTAAATATTTTTAAAAAGTCTGTTGAATGGGGCGAATCAATCTGGCATTTAACAGATAAAGGGATAAATCAAAGAGACAGCGGCAAGAGAGACAACTTTCATAATGTGGTTGTATGTGCGCGTGTTGAACCCTCTTTATAAGGTTAGCTAGAGAGTTTCCTGAACCCGTTTATGTTGTAATGAAACTTTGTGAGAGTTACGCGCGCTATCCAAGAACATGATACGTTGAGATACGTGTTAACCTGGTCAGCACTTTTGATCAGAGTTCACGGGCTGAATCCAATGCGATAACACGAGGCCACGACGAATCCCACGATATCAACAATGAACTAAAAATTTTAACTCTCCATCTTTCGTTTACAGATGATGCAGGAGATTTCGACCTAGAGGTTAATCATGGAATAAGTAATAGCGATTTCGCTTCATTTAATTTTGCGACCTCAGGTTTTTCCCCTGAAAAGCGTTGGGACGCTTTCACTGCCTGTTTTTGGTTCAAGGTTTTCATGGATACCAGCGCTGTTTATTCTTTGCTTGCATTCTATTCGAATGAAGAACTTCTCTTTAAGCTAAAATACAAAGAAGCCACTGGAAGGTTAAGCTTCAAAGGATACGCAAATGAGAGGTACTCTAAAACTCATGATTTTTTCGGTCACTACATTTTGGGCCTAAATAATCATTACCTCATTATCGAAGCCAGAAAGACTAACCTTGAAATCAGTAGTATATCATTCAGTTCTTAAGTCCTGGATTCTCTAATAAACATTACTAGAAAAAATTACCGCTAAAAATATGCCTCAAATTCTTGCTGTTGAAAAGGAAGCTTTCAAGCCTGATACCTATTGTAAATGATCTACCTACGAAATGAAAAAATAATAAAGACACCCTTTGACATGAAAGCAACATTAACTAATCTTAACTACATGCAAAGCTTAACAAAATGACCTGAATTTTTTTCAGTCCTTCTTCTCACTAGTACTTAAGAAGTGTTCATTACTGCAAAGATCGTTTCCATATTCATCTCTTAATCCGCAGTTCCCATCTGTGATTTTCTTGTATTTACAGTAATTTATTCATTACTTCTCGGGTTTATTACGAACCAACATAAAGGTCAGCTTTCAGTTGGCTTGTTGGCTCAGTTGTTAGAACACTGCACCGGTGTCGTAGAGGTCATGGGTATAAATCCCGTACGAGCCTGAAATTTTTTTCAGGCCTTATTTTCAGTATTGCTTAAGTAGTGTTCATTACTGCGAAGATCGCTTTTAGATTCATTTCTTAATCCGCATTTTAGAGATATGATTTTTGTATACTCAGTATTTATGCACTAACTTTTCATAGGTATTCATATTACTCTTTTAATTTGGTATAAGCACGATGAATTTTTTTCATATTAACAAAATTGCACGAGCCCATTCAACTTGGTTTTTGAATGCGCGCAGTATCTCGGTTATTAAATAAATTCAGTTACTCATTTGATCTATCAAACTCATGTATAATCTTATCCCTTACAGTCTCCTCCAAATCAGAACCAAAATTTTGAAAGACACATCGTGGCATCACATATGCGCAAGGTGGGAGAACAAAGCTGGTATTGCAGAAATATTTATCGATGGCATAAGGAACATTCGTAGTTATGGAAGCCTCATTGGGTTCACTTTCTCGTGGGATGCTCTTGTCATTCTTGATAAACAGGGTAGCACTTCTTCCAGAAGTTATTTAACATGCTTGAGAATGTGGCCGAGTGTTATTGAAGACGAAGAAGTGAGAAGAGCATTTGAGGACAAGAAATGTAGCAACAACAGTTCTACCCCCTTCATTTGGCCATTGTTTAAAAGAGCTGAACTCCGAGGCGGTGCTTTATGGACAAATTCGTCATCTCTCTTCAAAGAGGATTTGGGTATGAATTATCTCATTACCACAAAAAGTCACGAATAATTAAGAAAAAAAAAGTTTCTTGCATTAGGAACTGGCGATTCATCATTATCAGGTGGCAAATTGAAGAAATGTAAAATGGTTTCCGTGTTTATATAGCCTGATGTAAACACGCGGGAGGTTGGGAGAACACGAGCGTAGGAAACCACGACGCGAGGCGGAGTGGTTTCCGGCTTATCGAATTGGTTTGATGAATGGTATGACCATAGAAATTATGTTTAAATGGCAGAGTTAGGATTTTATTGTTCCTTAGACATACTGACAAGGCTGGTAGGGCCACTTTACGTGAATACCTATCTATCTTATTAGAAGTTTGGTGTGTAGTATCGCTGAGTATTTTTACAAGTTGTATCGTATTTTGATGTGACCACAAGGCGAGCCAAAATAACCGGTTAAACAGGTTCTTTTACAGTACAAAATAACCAATTGTCTAATATCGCAGGATATTTGTACTCTATTCGGGCGTTGTTTGTACTCTAATTCATGCAGTTGAACAATTATAATGCGTCAGTGTAACAATCCACACGTCTGTACGCTTGGGAGATTCTTCTCGATGTCAACACTTGATTAATTTTCAATGTTTCGAATTTTTGCAATCCTTTTTTCCTATAGTGACGATTATCAAGGTGATATTTTTCTTACGGTTTTATTTTTGCTTTGTAAAAGATCACATTGAAATTCATTAAATTCATCAGCTTCTTTTGCATTGCAGACTTTGATGTCCATTTTGAGCAAGGCAGCTACATTTCCATGGAGTCCTTCCAAATCCCTGCGCTAACATCTTTGACCGTGTGCTTGTGGGAGAATTCTATCAAAGATCATCAATCCGGCCAAATGTCTTTCCTCAGTTATACTACGCCAACCGACAGTTCTGCATTTGTTATGGACATTGGAGAATCATCTGGAAGATTGTGGTTGACTGCAACAATTAACGGAGTTGTGTAGGTCGCAAAACCTGGGTTATCTTCCCATGGTTTTGCTCTCAGTTTGTGAAAAGGGGAAACGTTGTTAAAGGCGAAAGGTGGGGGGAGGGGTGGAGGAAGGGGTTGGGCAATGGAATTAACTGAACAGTTAGCCTTTCTTTTCGTAGCTCTTAACACATTCGCTTTTTTTGCATTTAACCAAAAAGGGTTTTAGGGTTGGGGTGACAGACTGAAGCACAGTAAATAAGGAGAAATTCTGTCTTGGTCACTCATAGGAGTTAAGAGGTCAGGGCCTTGGGTACAGCGAGCTGTTGATAGGTCTGCAAAGGATCTGGGGCGACCCCTTTCAAACCTCTCGATCGTCTGCTTATATTTCAGAGGAAGTATAACGTATTCCATGTTCTCTCCTAAAAACGGCGTTTGGAATCATTTATGTCTGGTATGGAAGAACATTCCAGGAACCTACTCATTCTTCATTAACGGCACAGAAGCGATCAGCGGAATATTGGTGGGGCATCAAGGGCCCTATTTGTCTTATCTCTCGATTCCAGCCGACGGTTTGTTAGTCATTGGTGGAAAAAAGACTGCGGCTCACATGGAAAATCCGTTTGTGGGAAGAATGACATGCTTACAAATGTGGTCCTTTTCCCTTACGGATACTATCATCAAAGCGTTATCTCAAAAGAAAAGATGCGAAAAATACTCTAATCCATTGCTTAACTGGAATGAGGTGAAGAGCGGAATAGCGGTTGGCAACGTGCGCCAGGAAGTTCCATCCTCAGTTACACAGCCGAATGTTGGTTAGAAAACACCCGTCATATTTTCTTACATCGGCTGATATTTTTATTGAAATCCTACAGAGGGATTAGGGGGAGGGGGAAGCGGGGTTCGAACCCATGCCCTTTTATACCGACCTTTGCTTACACAAGCAGCAATTCCTCCTTCGCTCTGACGAAGGGTTAACGCTTGAAACGTCAGCTTTTAAACTCTTTATGGTGGTCAATTAACGATATCAACTCAGTTAATGATACCAAATTACCCTACCTTTACACTAGAGCACGAAATCTATGATCAAGTCCTTAAGATAGTCAATGTAAATGCTAATAAAAATAAAAAAAAAAAACAACCGAACGAATCTGTTGAACGATGTAACTAGAATATACGATTGCTAATGTTTGTTGATGGATTGTTGCATCTGTAACTAGCGTTTGATTATACAACTCTCACTTAGGAATAACTGGCTCTCCCAAAAAAGTGCTTCCAATTTTTATTTTTCTAATTTCAGTGTCGGAGGAGGATTTCGATGTACAGTTCGCTCCTGAATCAACTGGGAGTTACGTGATGAAAGAGACGATAACAGGTCTTCAACTTTCTTCCCTGACCGTGAGCATGTGGTTGAAGAATGACAAATGTGATTCAAAACACACCAGTTTTGTTTATTCCACTACCGACTATGATAGCGAGATTTCGTTCAAACTGGAAGGAATCACGGCAATCCAAGAATGCAAGCTGAGTATTATCATGAAAAATTATGTGTAAGTTATCTTTTTCTAACCCAATTTGTACGTAAATTTAGAGGGGTGTTTGTTACATGCCCGTTCCAGGCGTTGAGTATGTAAACTGGGCGCGATAAGGACTGCGGCGACCCGACACATGGCCCCTTTGTATGCTTGCATCTTTTTCCGTAACATAATTACCAATTTAGCGCTTGAGAAAAGCTTCTTTCCTGTTGCAAATATAGCTATTGCTAATAATCAGACACTCACATAAATATTTACGATTTGTAGTTCACTAAAGTGCTGGTACACAAAACACAATATTATGAAATATAGGATGGGATCAAACCTCCAAAATGTCTGCTTGCCTAATCGAAACGTTCCCTAATTTCTACATAGTCAGACAACATTCAAGTAAGCGCACGCGTTATACCGGTCATATTTTGAAGTGTTTTTATGCATAACGACGAAATCAAAGAACGACACCAACGTCCTATCATACTGGGCGAATAAATTTGGTCAATGAAGGAATTTTCTTGTGGCGAAAGATTTCAGTGCTGGACACATTGATGAAAATAAATCTCGCCGCCCTTTGCTCTTTCCCGAGTTTGTGTAAGACAGGGAGATGTAGACACAGAACTTGAGAACAAAGTATGTAAGCTGGCTACCTGCACTTTTCCCCTCCAGTCAATCCTGAGCAGGAAAAAGGAATCATTTCTCCTGTTCATCAAAGACAATCACAAGGAGGATTCGTTTCATTTCGCATGTTAACAAAAACAGATGGGCAATGTTGACTGATTGAAATTCACTAAATAGAGAGAAACGTCATTCTCGGGAAGGCGACCCGTTAAATGAAGAGATGTTGCTATTTTTAACTCTAATGCCCCTGATGACGACTTCTGCCCGGGATTGTCGATAAAGCATCATTCGCTGCCACCTTGAAAAGTTAAATAGCATCTCTTGAAAGATCCAGCCACGAGATCGGCAGTATATATGAATTTACCGAAACCAAGGAAGATCTAACTATGAGAATCAAAGTGCTCTGTGAGCAAACTCGTGAATTGACACATGATTTTTTAGATTATGTTTAATGTTATCTGGTTTAGGGAATTTTGTGGTTGATTGTCATATCTAGAGTACGAGCAGTAGTTCAGTGTTCGCTAATGTAGCAAAGAAACAAAGTAACGTTGGGATAAGAAGGCATTACCATTGAAATGATCATGCTATTACATTTGACAAGGTGGATGATGTCATGTGTTTTAAACGTCTATCATTTTTGTTTCTGGTTTAAAAGAAAAGGTTGAAAGTAAATGTGGGTGAAAAGTGAGATTTACTGTCTTTCGTGGTAAATATTAGAAAATCAAGGCAATACTGTCTTAATGAAAACATTAACGATTCCCTCTTTATCAAAAGAGACAAACGGGAACGAGTTTTGAGGGATATAACTAAGCCAAGCCTGCCACCGTCATTTTGGATCTCCGCCTGGGTAGATTTAAGTCACGTGCTAGGCAACGTATAATCAATAACAAGATAGAATTTCATTTCAGGCCTATTTACCAATTTTGTGGTGTGTAACTTTCGCATTTTAGTACGTTGTATGTATGTTGAATCTTCAAATTGTCTTAAAACTTAAAAGAAAATTGTTCTTTAAAAATTCACTGAAAATCGGTAGATAAAATTGTTTGTTTAGGGGTTATTTGATTTTCGTGTTAACTTGTTATTTCGTCAGTCGCCGGCATCTTCTGTTGCTTCACACAGGAAAAACACACGCGACGAAACGTAATGATCAATTTTGTCCTCAATCTCACGCTATAACAGAAAAAGCTTTTGAACATCTGTAAACTCCGAGCGCTTCGCAGTAAGTGATATTTTCAATGAATCTTCGGATTGTTTTCAAGTTCAAGGATTGTAAATTACAATTTTATGAAAAACGAAGGTTGTTCTGTTATTTCAGTGTGAATCCTTGCATGCCTGCCAGTCGCTGGCGCCGCTTGTTGAAACTAAAACGTAAAAAAAAACTCTTTTAAGATTATAATTGGCTTCTTTTTCACCCCACCACTATTCTTAGCGACAAAGGTCGCCATTTCGTCTGTTTATTGCTCGCCAAAAACTATCAAATGCACTCAAAAGCCTAAAATCTAAAAAAAGTTTACAGGAATCGACCAATCGAGCGAGCGAGCGAGCGAATGCCATTCCCCACATCGTACCTATAACTCGCTCTTGCGCATGCGCGCAATTCACGAGTTAAAAATGGTATCAATTGTATGATTTTGAAGAAGAAATAATTTCACCTTATTTTTTTTCCAAAATATCACCTGCAGGTTAGGTTCGAAATATATTGGACTGGATTCATCCCGCTGGCATTTTGTCGCTTTTGCATGGAGAAGCAACGACGGAAATTACATTTTCGTGGTCAACAGTTATTCAGACTTGGGGCTTAGAAAGTTTGAGGGCAAGACTATTGAAAGCGGAAACATCCTGATTGGGCAGCAAAGTGAAAACGTAAACTTAGAGAATCCATTTTCTGGACGAATTACTTGTTTGCAGATGTGGAAGACGTTTCTAAGTAAGGAGCAAATAGAAGAAATCTACAAAGGAAATGGTGCTAAAGATGGCAAATGCCAGACCAACGACGACTCCTACAGATTCTTAACTTGGGCGCAGGTGAAAACTGCGAACACGAAAGGCGAGGTGACGTTTCATTGGCCATCAGAGTTAATTTGAAGCCCAAGTACTGCGATTTCTTACATTTAAGTGTGGTAGAACACAAACTAAAGTAGTCAAGAGGACCAATAAAATGGAATAGTCTGTGTGAAAACCGGTCTATATTCACGATCACACGATTTTAACGACGAGATTTTAGTAACAGATTTCTGCGCATTTGTAAATAGTACTTCACTGAGTGCCGTGTATGATAACTAGGAGACGGAATGGTATAGTTAACGAAAATAATCTCACTATAATGTATAGTGATCTTGCGACTATAAGCATCTCGTTGGGTTCGCTGTTCACTCCCTTACGGTGAGAAGTAGCGACAAGTGCTATAATAGCAGTCAGTCATGTTGTAAAGATACGCCACTAGCCACGTCGCTGATTTGCCAAAATAATATATATTAATCTGTAACGAGTGTAATTTATGAAATACAATAACTATATCAGAGATTATTAGTGTGACATAAAGCTATCCTGATTTACGTACCAACTTCATTTTCTTTATTAATTAAAACAGTAACTACCTACCAAGTTTTATTGAGACACTTCTTATACCATTATTAACTGGAAAGGCAGCAGATGTGGAAAAGCTGTAAAACGTCACTGATCTAATCCCCTGGAGGTAACCTAACTACCTCAGGCAGAAATCTTGGCTATTTAGAGCCAAGATTGGGTTCTATGTCAGAGACCCAACACTCTTCTTGGCCTAGGTTACGAATTCGGTAAGCACAAGGATTGCTGAGATGAAGTTTGTAAAAAGAAGTAGAAAATTAAATGTCTATATATATATATATATATACATCTGTAAGGGCACTTTACGACCATTGATCGCTTTAAAATGATCCTAGTGAAACTACATAATCATTTAAGCTCCTAGGCTGGCTCCTCAAATATCGACGGAGACGTAAATTAAGGAACAGTCAGAATTTTTATTTCAGGTAAACGTTTTTTTGAGTCTACCACAATTTTCCCAGTCCGCTTTGAGAGCTAAAGAACTTATTATGCAAATTGCATGGCGCGTTGCAGGGTAAACTTTTGCGGGTGATCAAGTTATCGATCTTGGCAACTCTTTGAGAATTCATGGGGATCTTCTAAAACACAGTTGCTAATAGGACGTTTCACGAAAGGAAAAGGTCTTTGAATTTTCATGGAACGTAGATTACAAACTCAGAATAAAATCTCGGTCTTAAATGTTTCAAAAATACAGAATTACAGAGTAAGGCTTGAGAACGGCAACAAAAAGAAACAGTTTGACTGGTTACAGGTCTAGGGAGACATTACTCTATCTTTCAACAAAGAAGAAACTTTAGTTTTTATTTGCCAACAAGCATCGTTAAGATGTGTCGTTAAGAGCAAAATTATAACTTATCCTTCTGGAACTGTCGCTAAAATTACCCAGTAATTATAATGTGTGGCATTCATTTCATAGCTTCAGCAGAAATCTTCATTCGATAGATAAACTATTTTTTCGAAAACCACTACCCAAAAAACCCAGTAATAATAGTGTGAAATTTCTTACATGCCTTTACTTGAAGAAAAATATCATTTTAAATTAAATTTTCAAGACCCTTATTTCGAAAACTAATAAACGAATTACCGGCCCCGTAATAATAGTATGAAAAACACCATTTGAAATTTCAACACTCTCATTTCTAAAACTAATTCCAATTTACCTAGTAGTTATGGCGTGAAATTCATTACACGCCTTTACTTGCTGAAAAATACCATTTGAAAGTTGTAATACCTTTATTTCTAACACTATCGTCTATTTTACCTGGTAATTATAGTGTGAAATTCATTTTACGCCACCTTCACTTGTTACGAAACGTAACACGAAATGCTATTCTAACATCAACAAGGATAAGTTGAGATATTGACTTAAGCCTGGTTGAAACCAAGTCACAAAACCTTCTTAAAAGTGAAATAATCTACCCTTTGCCCCCTATACGTGTCTTCTGTTTCCTCAACAAGCCATCCATGTTAGCAAATATTGTCCTGGTACCATACACAGACGATTCAACAGGAAAAGACAAAGAGGAAACATTTCCCCAATCTAGTAAATCCCAATGCTCAATTAGAAAACCTTCAAGACAGTAAAATCTATTAAATGCGTGAAGACTTAAACGTATAATACTTAAAATTCGTGTTAATATGATCCTTGAATTTCTTGGAAAAAAAGTATTATATCATTATTGTTCAAATTTGGCAGAACGGATCTCTTGCATCAAAAATATTTTTTCGAATCGTGTGATTCTTCAAGTACATACAAAAGTTTTAACTTGGATTAAATTCTAGCTTAAAAAATTTAAGAAGTTTGGGGATTGCATTGTGAAACATTATCTCAAAAAGTGAAAGAAAGTACTCTTCTTTTGGCAAAAAAAAATTATGTTTAACATTACCCTCAAACTAGAAAGAAGTGGAAGATTAATCTCTCTCTGATGAAGAATCTTCCGGTTTTGATGTCATTTGATCGGCTTACTGATTACAGTTAGGCTGAACTAACATTAAAATAATAGTCGTCCTTTAATGATTTCGCGAATCACCACAGTCTCTCTAGTACTGACAGAAGTAATCATATATCTTATTAAAGAATTTTGTCGATCTTGATTGTGCTCATCACCTCTTAAGGTTCTTTAAACTGTTGAATTAGGCTCACACTGACTGCTCCGATAGCAGATTTCATTACCTAGGTTTCTGGAGAATTTTCTTCAGCATGTGGAATTGGCGACCCGATCACTTCTTCTTGGGAACCTTCTTGGTTTTCAGCTGGTTGAATTACACACGGAATTTCCTGTGGCTGGTCCTTCTCAGGAAGAGCGGTTGATTCACCTTCAGCTGATTCAATTACGCATGGGATTTCCTGCGAGTGGCCATTGCCTGAGTAGTTTTTGGGAACACCTGCTGAATGAGAGGTATTTCTTTCTTCACAAACCTCGGCTCCCGCAGAAGATATAACTTGACGCGGAGTGTCATCAGATGCCTTTTCATCGTCAAGTTTACCACTAATCTCCTTGGACGCTTGTCGCGGGGAAACTTCTGCAGCTTGTGATGAGAACTGTTGATGAAGGTTGCCAAGACTGGCGGAATGATGCAAGCCGCCATTAAAACCGGATGCTATACCTAGACCATATATAGATGGCCCTGACATAACCCGTTGAAAACCAAATCTTGAATTCAATCCACTCACACCGCCAAAGCAACCAAACGTTGATCCCCTGAGTGCGCCGAATTCTCTTGCTTGGGAGAGGCCACCTAAGATTCCAACGGACGGTAGAAACAACTGGTCACTGCGAAAAGAACCTCCTGACTGTAAAAGGGTGCTGCTACGTGTAGCGTCAAACCCACCACTTAAAGACCTCGCATGAAAAAAAGGAGCAGGTGCGCAGGACGCAAGACCACTCTGAAGAGCTGATGCTGTGGAAGAAGAACCTCCGATGTCATAACCACGACTGGTTAGGTACTGATCATTTCTTGTATTGGAACCCTGCCCTACAGATCGCACATCATGAAGTGATTGGCTTAAAAAGGACCTGCTATCTTTAGCCTCTCGACTCGAACTTGCTAGTTTTTGCAATCTGGAGGCAATTCTGGGAGTTCCAGATTTTTCCCTTTGTTGTAGAGAACTCGAGCTTAGGTCTAACATTGATGATGAGAGCCTTCCAGAGTGACGACCAAGATCGCGGCTGCTCTCCAGACTTGGGGAAAACCTTACATTAGTGGCCTGGAGAAGGACAGAACGGCAATTAAATTAATGACTTACTCAGTAAGCCTGGCAGGCTACTTACGGCAGTGACGGAAGCCAGAAAATTGGAACATTTCATGAGCAGCACTAATCGTAAACAGAAAGGATTCTGGTTGAAGACCAAAGGGGGGTAAGGCAAACACTCAAAATTCGTAACACTAACCTTCTTGGATTTTGATCGGAGAGCTCGCGTTTGACGTTCTTCAATGTCGTCCATTCTCCCCTTAAGAAAATTCATCTGGCTCTCTAATGAACTCCTCTTCGCTTCTAAGGTCAAGTTCTTGTCTTGTAGAGATTCAGTTACACTGGCGGAGTATCGCTGAGAAAGGAATCAAAATAAAGGATAAATTTCGGAAACTTTTTTAGAAAAATAGTCACAATGTTAACTGAAGCTTCCAAAAGAGGTAAGCTGTTTGGGAGGATCCTCCTGGTCTAGCTGTTTAACATTCACAAGTAGTAAGATGGTTGAACTCAAAGGGAGGAGCCGGTAAAATCTGAGATTCGCGAATCCGTTGCTCTGGAATAAAATACATTATCATCTTTGTTTTTGAGATCTCAGAGGAAAGCTTTTTCAATTATAGAAGACAATGAAAAAAAGGTTTTCAAAACATGAATGGGTACTAGAGGTTAACTGCACTTGTTGAGAGAGGACGACTAACAGTTTAATTGTTGAAAGAACAGTGCGCGTAAATATAAATTAATGCTTAACTCACCAATTTTTTGTCCATTAGCGTCGTTGATTTCATCTGAGCAGTAGTTGCCTGTAGTTTTCTTTTAAGATCTTCAATTTGTCTTTTGTATTTCTCCTCCAGACGATCCCTTTCTCTATCAAACTCCTCTTGCATTTGGGCTCTTTCTTGCTTGTAATTCGCTTTTATATCATATTTCTCTTTTCGCAAGAATTCTATCTCTCGCTCGAGATCATGTATTGTGACTTCCATCTTTCCACGTGAGGCTCTCATTTCCATGTCCAGCTCAGTTTTGAGAAAAGACTCCTTATTCGCGGAAAAGTCTTTTTTGAGGAGTAGGCTATAGGTGCTTTGTATTCCCTGATCAGAAAGCTTAAGCTGAATTTGCTTTCGCTGCTCCTGCAGAGACGTAATCTCTTTTCTCAATACGCGCAAAGTCTCCTCGTATTTCTCCCTTTCTTTATTGAGAGTAACTCGATATTCCAGCTGGAGACTTTCCCTTAACTGACTCTCTATGCTCGTCGTATCTTGTTCCAACTCTGATTTCTTATATTCGAATTTAATCTCCAGTTGATGAAGGTCTCTCCGATGCTTTTCCTCGAGGCTTCGTCTATTGCTTTCAGAAACAGAGAGCTTCCTTCTAAGCTCGTTCATGGACTTCTGGGTACCTTCTCTCTCTTTTTGAAGTCTTATATCGCACTCTTCACGAACTTTCGTCACGGCCTCTGACAGTTCTTTGATTCGGCTGTTGTTGTTTCCTTTCCCCTTTCTAATTTTGCTCAGTAGGGTCTCTTTTTCGTGCCTCAGCTTCTTCACTTCCTCAGTCAATTTTTGTACGGTGTTTTGGAGACATCTGTGCTCACCATCCTTTATTCGCGTAGTGTTTTGCAGCTCCTTCTTAAGGGTTTGTTTCTCACTTTCAAACGCTTCCAATTGAAGCTTGATTTGTCTTCTCAACTCGTCCATCTGCTCTTTGTGATCTCTCACCAGTTCAGCCATACTTCCAACTCCATCTTGATATATATCTTTTGAATCCCTTTGACACGAGTCGGTCTTCCTCAGGTTGTCGATTTGTCTTTCGTAGTCATCTATTTTTCGTCTATACTCTTCCTCAATCTCACTTCTCAATTTCTTAATCTTCTGATCACTATCGTACTCCATATCATCAAATTTTCGGCTGTACTTTCTCTCTGCATCATAAAGATTCTCTTGCAATTCTTTTTTCTCAGATATAAGAGTATCTATCTTACTCTTTAGCTCGATTATTGTTTTCTGAGAGGCCGTACCTACTCCTGGTTGATTAATAGTGTTACTCGCAGGAAACTCGTCAGAAGTCAAAGCAACCTGATTTGATACAAATTCGCTACTGGACGCGTTTTGTTTCCTCAATCTCTCCTCTATTTCATTTATCCGTCGTTCCATTGTTTTTCTCTCCTCCTCAAAACGCCGCCTGTATATCTCCTTTTCGTTGTCAAACTCGTTTCGGATTCGCTGTTTCTCTTCTTCCAAGGTCCTAATCTCCTCGTCATACTTCTTCTTCCTGTCGTACAAAGTGCTTTCCAGTTGCTCCGTCTGCTTCTTAAATACCTCAACGCTCTTCTCAAGCTCCTCTTTAACAGTTTTAGCTCTGTTCCTCTCAAAATTGATTTCCTCTGTTAGCTGAGCCGTTATTTCACTCTTCTTCCTCTCTAGACGTTCGTTTAACCTTTCCAAGTCATAAATTCTCGTCTCTAGGGAATTGATCTCGGCCTCCATGTTTCTGTTAACTTTCATCTGCTCGTTGTACTTTTTCTCGAGTGCTTCCTTTTCACTCAAGATGTCGTTAATTTGAGACGTCTTGTCCTTACTGAAATTTCTCATCCAGTCTTCCTTTTCATTTCTGAAATTTTCCTCCATTTCCCTGATTTTCCTTGAGAGACTCTCTACGTCCTCTGTCAGTCTTTTGTTCTTATCTTCCACTTGCTGCACGGATGACAACGAATTGTCCAGCTCCTTTACTAATTCTCTCTGCTTACGGATCATTTCATCTTTCTTGGACGTTAGCTCTTCGATCTCCTCTGAAAGTTCTATGTTTTTATTTTCTATTTCTTTCTTTTTCTTAGCTTCTCGTTCCAATATTTGGCAGGTTTCTCTCAGTTCGTTTATTTCGTACATCAGCTCTTTCAAATTTTGCTTGCTACCCGTCGACTGAGATGTTGCGGTCATGATGTCCTTTACTCGAGTTGTGGAAACTCCATCAGAAACGTTTTGCTCAAGCAATTCGTTAATCTGGTATAGGAGTTTCTTGTTTTCTTCCTCGAGCCTCTCTTTCTTCCGAATTTCTTCTTCGAGTTTCCGTTTTCCATCTTCTTGTGTTGAGAGTTGTCCCTGTCCACCGGAAATAAGTTGAGATGATGAGTGCGTTTGCTGCACCAAGTTTGACGGAATCATATACTGATTGACTGCTGATCCATTTACGTAGGAGATAATTTCTTCTCTTTCCCTCTCAAACTGAAGTTTAAGTTCTTGAGCTTCACGAAAAAATCTGTCTTCCATTTCCTTTCTTTGTCTGTCAGATTCTATTAATTCTGCCATTAGCCGTTCTATTTCCATTGACAACTCAGCTTTCTTTTGGATTTCCTCTTCAATATTTCTACGCAACTCACTGACATCTCGTGAGTAAGTTTCCTCAAGGGTGGTTCTTTCCTCAATTACATCGTTTTCCGTTTTATACGCTTCTTCGATTTTTAGGAGAATTTCTTTTCTTTCTTCCTCGATTTTTCGGATATTCTCCTCCAATTGATGAGTTTGTTCTTGAAGTTGTTTATTGTTGCTGATCTCTATTTCAAGCTTGATTTCAACCTGATGAATTTCTTCTTCATACGCCTGCTTCATCTGTGACATTTGAAATTCGTAGTCTTCCAGAACAGCAGACTTCGAGTAAAGCTCATTTTCTAACACCTTACTCTCTCTCTTGCAAACCCTTAGATCACTTTCGGCCTTGCTGTTCGCTTCCTCTAGACGACGCTCCTGTTCCTGAGTGAATCTTTCCAGTTCCCTCACACGATCTTCCAGTAGTGACTTTTCCCTTTCTAGCCTTATTACTTCCTCCTCAAACAATCTAAGCTTCTGGTTGTTATTTTCAGAAACTCTGTCCTCAAGTATAGCTTTGCTGTAGTCCTGTTTGTCTATTACATCGATGATTTGCTTAAAAAGCTCGTTTTCGTGGGCCAGTAAGGCCACTTCTTGCTTGTACATCTCAGTGCTCCCCGAGAAGGAACCTTCACCAGAGGAACTGGACAGAAAGACGCCACCGCTAGTACTCAAAGATGCCCCTTCTGATCCACCTTGCGCCGCTGCTGCGGTCCCCAAATTCACTCTTGTCTGGATGGCCGTCCTGAGTTGGCTAAACTGCGCTTTCAGGTGGCTATTTTCAAGGCGCAGTGACCGAAGCTCCTCCTCGTAACTCGCCAGGTTTCTAGAAACTTCCGACAAGTTTTCTTCAAAATGTATCTTTTGGTCAAATTCTTGATGTAACTTGATCTCAAGAGATTCTCTGTCTTTCTTTTCACGCTCGTATCGAAAACGGAGCTCATCACGATCCCTGAGAAGCTGTTGATAGTTACTCTCATAGAAAGTCGCGTCAAAGTCAAGGGGCAGTTCTATTTCAAAGTCCAGGTAACTCTCAGCCGCCAACTCTCCGCTATAAGCCGCTTCCGGCTCCTGCTCAACTGAGTCCATTGCTAAGCTCTGCGAGGTTTAGGTGAAAAAGTATGCTGAACAGAAATTGAATAACGCAAAATAACAAGTCAAGAAAATGATTTGACCTCCATGTTAAAAATAAATAAATAAAAGGAAACCTCTGTAACTAATTTGGAATCATGTTAGTCACTTCCAGCGATTCCAAAGTACTATCATAACTTCCACTTTTTATGTGAAACTAAAGCTTTAAACGATTCATTGTGGAAGATTATAGGGTAGTGACTCTTAAATCGTGCACAAATTAAGCAAAAGTGGTGGCTCCAAACAAACGAAACACCTTCAGATGGTTTGGAATCGTCATTCCGTTCACTCCTTATGTAAACCACACGTTCAACAACACCGTTTTATTTCGCCTTTTGGGCGAAAATAATTTTTTTAGTAAAGAGTAACTGATGATTGGCGACCGTTGTCATCACTTTGTAATGGACCATGATTTGGAGGAGACTGTAGAACACCTTAATTTTTAATACATTAAATCAACCTAATCCTTGCTACTTGGCCAGCCTAGCAACGTTTGTGGCAACGACTGTTTCATTTCGGTCCATGGATTTTTCCGACTTTTAAGTCTTTGTTACCTTTTCCAACTATTCAGCGCGCCTCGTTGCGATAGTATTTTTTTGCTGCTTCATAGAAAAAAATTTCGAAATCATTTTATAATTTATTTTCTACGAGCTATCAGATATAGGCCAGACGCTGACAATCAAAACACTATAAACTAATTAACGTTTTTTTTCGGTAATTTTATCCTTAAAATGGTTAAAGACTACTTTAAAAGAAAACTTCAAGTCAGATACAGTCATTCAAATCAAACGGGTAAAGCCTTTGCACTGTCTGACTAAAATCAGATTTGCCTTCTAAATACAGTAGCCATATAAATTCAATCAGCACCTTACAGCCACCTCCAAACTGATCACTGCGCGTGGTAATAAGTACGAATTAGCTTCGTCAAAGTCAAAATCATAATGCTATTCTTATCTTAGATTTCTTTCATCCGATGATATATATGTCCTATTTCGTACGGGTCAAGCTTTTCTCAACAAAACGAGAGATTGTGCAAAAGTTTTGAGTTTAGTATTAATGTATGCTCCTATGATATAAACATTGGAATGACTTCGATGTAAATGCATGCAATTTACACGTACCTGCTCTGATACCAGCAGCCGTTTGTGAGTACCTGATACAGGTGTAGAATCCTTCCCGAGTTGAAGTGAATGCTTCACACTTTATGATTTAAAGCGAATGAATCTCCCAAGAGGACGAATCTTTGGGATGAGCAAAATCCTGAGATGGACGCCGAATTTAAACTCGATGTGGAGAATAATCCAGACTTGATGAGTTATACTGGTTGTGGGTAAAAGCAAGCGTTTCCATTGGATACTCAGGATGCTAAATCAAAACACACTGACATAAAAGGCAATAGTTATAAATCTGTTGTTTGTCCTCGTGTCCCAAACATAGGCTCTTAAGACCTATGTGGTTTGAAATCAATCCCAAAACGCCAGCAGCGATGCTTGTTCTAAATAAAAACTCGAGTAAAAGTTAGTTGAGGAATTCATATGAAGGACAAGAAAATAGGCAAACATCTGGAAAAACGTAACTACCGGGATATAAAACTTTTACGTTATTTACAGCCTCGAGTTCTGTTGTGTTAGCCTATAAAAATCAAGGCATAATCCCTTGTAAAGACAATGAGATCAAAGAGTTTCCTAATGAAGAACACTAGAAACACTCTGTGGTCGCAACTGGTATGGATAATTCCAGTGAAATTTGGCTCAAGGATGCATTATTGGGATTCCTTTAGCCAATTAAATTTGATTTTCAGCGTTAAATGTAATTAGATAGATCCCACAGCTAAGAAATTGTGAGGATGGTATCATGGCATAATCAGTGTTGCTCTTATGTGTTCCCGATGATGAAAAGAAAGTAAGATAGCTTAAGAATGCTTCACACCTTAACTAACCGGCTACATTTCCTTGCCAGCAATTCAGATGATTAAATGGATCCTCTTAATAATCCGGGTATGATTCTTTCTTGTGATCTATTTCTAAGGGTGTTCCATTGTTTTAAACGTAGAAAAGAGGCTCGAATTAATCGATGAACTTCTCACTCTATAGCCTGGATATCTGATGAAAATTTGCCCAGTATTATAAAACGATTGTGCAACCTCTCTCTCCTCTCTACCCTCTCTTGTTATGGAAAACTTATTGTTTGAGCTATACCTATCCCTTTTCTCAATTTGGTAATTTACCTTGGAGATTATAAAGATGTGCGTTCTGATTGGTGTGGGATGAACCCATTTCATGGAATGATGACCCAACGCAAGGCGACTGTCTTAGCGAAGCACTCATTTTCAAAACGGTTTCTGCGATTTCGCGGTGTTTCCGACGAGCCTTGAAGATCTATTTTAAATACAATGAAGTTGTTCTTGTAATTAAAAGCAACAACAAAAGTCAAATTGGTGTCCTTCGCCTCTGTCAATATTATCCCATAGTCTTTTGATGAGGTAACGCCCGGACCACAAGATAATGGGCAGTTAATGGCATTAGGACCACTGAGACGATTGGCAGTAGCAAGTAAACTGGTGGAAATTTTTTCTTTTCATCAAATGTACTTAAATTAAGGTCAGGGAAATGTTTTTGTAATGCCAATATCTAAAAGAATTCGTTTGCAGTTTGGATGCCAGGTGAAAACAAAGGAATGAAAATTCCAAGAAGCCATACGTCCATGCTCATTCTTGTGGTCAAAAGTTATAACTGTGCAAGAACTGTAGAGGAGTTTCTGTGAAGGAATGCGTTTAAAAATCTAAAACTCAGCAATTGCAAAAACCAGAAGCCTCATCGTGACTATCTTCTCTAATCAGATAGCCATTCTAATACTGTAGGCTCGGATAATCTAGAGGTAAATGTAAAGGATTTATACAGTGAATGTTTATTATTTAAATATTCATACAAAAAACGGGTATTAGCATGTATATTTAGTGTAAAATTCACCACCGAGTGAAATCAGAGAGCCACTCTTACTCTGCTCATCAAAATTAGACTCCCCGGTAATGAGAGGTTTTCAATTCTACATTTTATGTTGCATTTAGCTCTCTTCTTGTCACCTGGGCCAAGTTGCATTAGAGGGCGTATAACGCTGTCCAACGGATGATTCTCTGTCCAGCGGATAGAAAAACGTGTAGCGTTATCCACCGGATAATGCTATCCCTCTTCGAACAACCGGGCCGGAATTTAGAAGACAATATCGAAATCTTTCTCTAAAGTTAGTTTTAAGAGGAAATTGTCCCGAACACCCCAAATATTCACTGCTTCAGTGCATTTGATAGATGGCTAATGAACAGCTTGACAGAATCAGTTTTTTTTTAACAAAAATTGAGAAGCACCTCGATTTGACCTTGCCCTGATTGATTCCCACTTTGCCAAACTCAAAGAACAACGAAAAAAATAGTTCGACCTCTATTTAAGAACAAGTCTCAACTAAATCATTGACTTGACTAAAGTGACGTGACTTGAAATATCTACTATAATCTTACAACATTTTGGTATTAAACAGTGCTAGAGCAATTAATTTTGTGAAGTGAAAGACCATAACCACTGGAGGTATAAACAGCAAAACTGTCAAAATTAAACCAGAGGACCGACGCTGATTGGCCAAGTCTTAAACATACATTAAATGAACTATCAAAACCTTGCAAAGGAAATGCGTGTTTAGAACACAAGCCCAAGTTGTTCAAAGGCTGAATAGCGCTATCCACTGTCTCTATCCGATGGATAGCGCAGTACGTTTTGTGAACACTTATCCACTGGATAGCGATTTATAGTTATATAGTCAGTTATCCGCTCTTTCAACAACTGCTCCCAGATTATTTGAAGTTTCGGGCATTTCCTCGCGTTTATTAAGAAGGCTTAACGTATTTAATTCAGTTCAAGAAAATAAAATAATTTGATACAACTCGCATGTTTATTTTCAAAACTACAAAGCGAACGAAACACCAAACATAATTAAATAAAGGCGATCTAAAGATAAAGTGACAAAGAAAACATTGATGTTTTTGATTGGAACAAATACATTATGTCAATAAAACGTATTCAAAAGAAACAAAAGTAAGAGAAAATAGACTATAGCAGGTTTCCTTTTGTGTTTAAGATACAGGATCACGTCAAACTTTCCATGTTTTGTTAGCCAAGCACCTGAAACAACAACACTCTCTTACCTTGCTCACAATAGGTGTTACGAAAGATAAACTGAAGGCATCGAGAATTTACTTTGTGACGAAAGCTCTAGAGTGACGTCATGCCGTAGGTCAAGTCTCATGACAGAAACAAAACCCAAGACCAATATTAGGTTTTGCTAAGGCAAATATAAAATTTACAGACTCTTGCTTTTCACAGGTTTCTTCTTTGTTGATAAAGTTTCTACGGCTTAGTTCAGTCAAACAACTATGCCCCTCTTTTTTTTTTGCGAATTCATTCGATTTTAAGGATCTGTATCGAATCACTAATTCACCAAGAAATAATTCTCCTCAAACTTATTCTCGGACTAACCTGGAGATCTAAATTCTACAACAAAGCGCATATTTACATAAAGTTTGTTCAATTAAAGAAAGATTCATTTGCTGCTAGAAAGGGCCAAACCTCCCATACATAGGTCTGGTTCTAACGAATTTGTTACGAACAAGGAGTTTTGGTAAATTTATGAATAAAAAGAGTCCTGCCTAATTAAAGGCTTGGCAAAGTCGCAAGTTTCCTGCGTGGGGAAATCGAGAAGTATCTCAATGTGGTGAAGGCATGAAAATCTGAAATCACAGTTGTTTTCAAGAAACGACTTTATTTCGACAGTCTAAATTTCTTCGCGGAAAAGAACAAGGTAGGATGTTTTGGTAGGAAACGCAATGACAATACCACATGACAGCGTCCTCTAGAGATGACTTTTGTTCGTGCTACGTGATTGGCTAATATATTTCCGTGTCTGAATCCTTCGCAGGTCTCGTTAAAAGTGTGCAGCTCCCATGGAATCTTTAAAATCAGTCATTATGTGATGCTACTTTTCGCTACTCGGTGTTGTTTTCCATATAATTGTAAAACTATAACTTCACAGACTCTTACTCTAATGTTAGAATTCATTGTGCCGAAGGAAGGCTGACTGGCGAACAGAGATATGTTATAAACATTTCAGACTAACATTCGTAGCATCGGCCTCTGAATATAAAATATTCTTTGATTTTTTTGTGTACAGTAGAACAGATAAATCACTAGTATACCAGTCGAATTATTATCCACCGTTGACTCCTTGAACTTTTGCTAATACACAATTTTTTAAATACAGTGGATACTCCATCCACTACGGCGCGTAAAAAAAAAAAGGCTGCCACGGAAGATGAAAGCCTGGTCGCAACACGGAGAAAACTACCCTTTAAATTTTGATGAATCTAAAATTAAAAATACAGTTCCTCAGCGGAGGCGATTTTCTGAAATTCTAAATAAGTAAATAAGTGAAGCTTAAAGGAAAGGACCACGCAAAGGCTGAAGGAAGACAAAATGCAAAGTGAACATATGAGTGGTAACAAATGACATTTTTACTTCCCCAGTTTCTGGCTAATTCTTCATTATTTACCGCAAAATTTACGACGAGTCTGGTGTTATCTTGTTTGCGCAGGTTTCTAAATGTTTTTTAAATTGTCAACTTTTTTTTTTTTGCAATAGTTTTACTTTTCCCATTCTGAATTTTCTTATTTTGAATTTTCGCTTTTACAAGATGTTTATCGTTTTGATGAATGCCGTTGAACACCGCAAAGGGACGCTGTGGGTTTTAACAAACGCAAACCGCTGCTAAATTATGAATCGGGAAATGGTGGTTGCTCACCCACAGGATAACAGGTAATTTGTGCTAAATTGATAATTAAATATGCGAAAAACTACAATACGTGGAGTTTTATCTTTTGATGTCCCGTTTTCCTTATACTATTTAATTCTTGATAAATTATCAGAGAGAATTGGACCGGGCAGTATAACTATTTTCCTTCATTCTACTCACTGTTTGACGACAACGTGGAGACTATTGCACGGGAGAGAAACATTTTTGACAAACGTTGCTAATTTAATTGAAAGTAAAAATACATGTATTTAGGAGTATTTAATTTGTATGTTATAGGACTTTGTTAAGAAATTTTCTTTTTCTCTTTTCTTATATAAAATGTTAAACAGTCAACTAAAGGATAAGCTGAGAGAAGTGGCTCGAAAAGGAATAGCACTCTGCTTTGTTCAAATGGATGGATAGGATCTGCGGGTATGTGGCGTCAGGCCGTTAAACCACGAAACCTGGCACGAAATTGTGGACGTTTGGCTTTGCGCATTTTAAACTCTTTTAACAACTTGTTGTTAATTTATAATTCATGTATGATTCTCACTCAGGGGTGCCTAAAGTAGCTTCTTAAAGCCTCAACCTGCGCCAAAACTATCAATCAGCTTATAAGACTTCGCTACTCTGTTCCACAGACGACGAGGCCGGGAAATAGAACAAGTTTGGTAGGTAGGGCACAATGTTTTTCTCAATTTTGCTATAAAGATCAAACCGATAGCAGTGAACCGAGTAAAATCCCCTTACGGAAAAAATACCATTCGTCGCTTTTAAAGGGAGTGCTGCAGTAGTGGTCAGCTTGTTAAGTGAAACACAATATTTTCCCAGTTATTTAAGTAAATACTGATCACATAATGTAACTGTGATCTCAACTACAATTAATCAGTTTTTCAACTTGACAAACAGGGTTTGAAGCCAATGTGGCCGCAGATCTACTTGCGTTTGTGCGAAATTTATTATGAGATAAGGTTATATGAAGTTGACGTATTCTATATAATTGACAAGGGGGAAACCAGAGCACACAAATTAAAGAAAGACTTCGCTGAATCTCAGCTTGAAAAGGGACTTTTGAGAATGCACAAACAAAACGATAATGCCTGTAGAAGTGAGAGCCTAATGAAAACCTTCAGGCTTCGTACAAGCCTCAAGCCTCAAGGTTACCATCTCATAATTTTCGTTCAATTTTAGAAAATGGCAGAAGAAGACATTAAGAAACAACTGGCTGAGAAAACTGCCGAGGCAGCTTCTTTGAAAGAAGATCTATCAAAGAAAGCTGCCGAAGTTACTAGTCTGCAAACACAATGTGACGAATTACGGCAAAAATTGGAGCAGGTTCTGAAGCTGGCAGGAGACGGGAAGGAGGACTTGTTAGCTAAGATACCAGGTGGCCTTGGCGGCATGTTGGGCGCTGAATCCAAAGAGGAAGAAAAACCAGCGGACGCTGCTAAAGAAGCTGCTGAAGATGCTGCAGACGCTGCCAAAACTGCGCTCGCATCTATTTTTTAATGAACACAATTGTATTGATTAGCACAACGGCGTAATAGGCCAATCGATCTCACAATGAATCGAAATGCTTACTTTTTTTTTTCGTTATTTCATCATTCTTTCGAACGAAGATAATAGTGGATTTAATTTTTTCAATTTACAGACTGAGGCTAGTTATCCTGAAATATATGCGAGGTTTGGTATATACGTTAGTTAAACCGTTTTACTCAAGTAGTTTTAAGGAGGATTTTTCTCATGCGAGCATTGACTTCTAAGAATTTACCTCAGATATTTTTTGTTGTGAGCTTAAAGCTAACTGAAAATTCCACCCAGAAAGGATTCTAAAGTCATTGATATTGGTTATGATATTTCTCGCTTGTAAATCATTTTTGACTATGGTAAATTTGTTTCAATAAATGCATAATTTTCTGCAATGTAGTCGACTGCTGGAGTGCAAAGCTATCGCTTAAGACGCTTGCAGATCAGTACAATTTGTTCATGAAACGAAACGTATCGAACTCGATGAAGTGAAATGCATCGACTGTCTGCTTGTGCAGGAAAGGTAAGGTCAGTTCACAAATAAAAATAATGCAGAATTACGTAGTATTGTAGCCTTACAGCGATCCTAACTGCAACACCTCTAAATTTCGTTTTCAAGCTGTCTCTTGAAGATTTTAATCAAAGAAACCAAGACAAGTTCCTCAGCTTTTCTATAACTCAAGCGAAAGAGACCATCAATGCGAAGAAAAAAGGAAACAAACTTTCAAAAGCACCTCCATTTGTTAAAAGAAATATCTGTTAAGTAATTGATACTAAATAAAATGTCGCGTATTATGCGTGGTTATCAATCCAAATTTTTTTTTCTGTTTGGCTTAGACGACACATTTTTAACCCTAAACAATATTTCCTAAAGCTGGGCAATAAAAGCTTTTGTATCTCCTAATAACACAAAAAAATAAGCCGCAGAAAATTACCAAACATTGAATGGTCTAATACAAAGGGAATAATTCATATAAGCGCCGCACGGTTTTAAAAACATTTTTATAATCTAAATTGAAAGATTAAACAAGCCATAAAAGTAGCATATTAGTTTCGATTTTAATCAGACGTCCTTTGAAATTCGATTGGTTGTTATCCAATAGTACACTCACATTGGATATTTGGGCCCATGTTTTTAATTTATTTGAAGTTTTCTTTCTTTACACATTGGGTTGTTCTGGGCAAACATTTCCGTAAGATAATAGGATATTTTTATTTAAGTCTAAAGGATTCTTTACCTGGCGATTTCACCGCGTAATTGCCGTCCGGCATCATGTCGACAGAATATCAGGTTACTCTATGAAACCTCGAGTAAAGTATTCGGTGATATGTTGTTTAAAAAAGGAAAAACAATGACCTTCACCGCAAATTTAGACTAGCTGAGTTTGTAGCGTTGCCAATAAAACGAAGTGGAATAGAAAAGTAAATGTGAGCACGTCAGATTGTAATCTAATGTCGGTTTCCCTCGAGCAAATGTCTGGTAAAATTAACATAAAACAAAATTCAGCGTCAGTCTACCGCCCTGAATTTCACACACAAAGCCATTCAAGGGCTCTTGTGAACAAAACATCGCTCTTATTTCTTAAATAAAAAGATTGTCAAGAGTCAATAAAATGTTATAGCCAACAGGAAAAGCCCTCAGAATTTTAACTTGAAAAGTGTAGTGCCTGATGAAATAATTTCATACAAAGCTAAATGCGTTGATCTTCATTCACAAAGGTTCTTGAATATAGAACTCGATGGAAATGGCGATAGGAATCGAAACATCTTGCCTCAAATGACGAAAACAATTTTTCAATAGACTATAGAAACCAAAAAAAAATCTTGTCTGTTATTTAATCTAAATGTCAATGAGATTTAAAGCAAGATTTAGCTTAAGCGAGGAGAGCCCTCCAAATGTTTTTATTGAGATAAAGCCACGTTGCAAGTCCACTTAAAATTCAATGCACGCTTTCGCGCCGAAACGTCTTTTTATGCAATTGCGAACACTCAAGAAAATCATGCGGTTGACCCGTTCTGTTACTTGAGGCTTTCTATTTATCGCTGCTTGACGGTACTTGCCATCCAAAGCTCGGGCCAGGCTCGAGATATCTCGGCAAGAGGAACACTTTTTTCTCCGGTGATTTCGTTACCGAGCAGCCTTGATCTTCACGAAGATCTGGTTTAGAAAGAGCAGTATTCGACCAGCTTACTCGCGGTCTAACCGAAAACGATCCTTGCCGCTGATGTTCTGTTCTACTCCTAAACTCATTCTCCATGCTACCTGATCCAGGGGTGATAACATCTCCCACATGAACCCGTGTTGCGGACGTAGAGCCAAACACATTTCGGACGGCGCGTCGCAATTCCCGCATTTTCCAGTAGTACATTACAGGGTTCGCGGAAGCGTTTATTAACGCCACCGTCTTGGCCACCTCCCATAAAATTGTCTGCTCCACGCTGGCCGTTTTTTCTTTAGAATGTAAATAGTGAATCATAGCATAGAACGTAGGCGCGTAGAAAATGAAGAACAAAACCACAACGTAAAGCATGGTGGCGGAAGATTTCCTATGTTTCCTTATGCTGACTGATTGAGGATGAAGCTTGGTTTGGTTGTCAATTAAAGCTTGGTGTCGACGAAGCACCAGAAATATTTTGATGTACATGAAAAGCAGCAAAATTGCAGCTATCGTTATGACAACGATTCCGATTGCTGTGAAGTAGTAAGTGGGAAGCCCTGCAGGCCACGCGATAACCGACACAGTACAAAAGAACCAAGTTGAGCCAACCGATTTGAGCGTCCGCGACATTGTGACAATTTCACGGTATCTGAGGTGAAAATGGAGCGCAAGCCAACGCTCAGTGCTTATCATGACCAGGGTCGAGATAGATACAAACATAAACAACAGTAACAGTGTCTCTTTCGTCATCCAAAGGCTGCAGTTGAATTGTTGCCCGCTTAGGAGAATGAAATTGTGTGCGATGTACAAAGGCTGAATGATAAATCCGACGAGAAGATCCGTCGAAGCCAACGAGCACAAAAGGATATAAGGAGGATTGTGCAGGGAAGGTGTTCGCACAATTGCGTAAATTACTGGAAGATTTTGAATCGTAGCTGTCAGAGAGAAAATAGAGTTCAATACGATAACAGCGATGTTTGTCGAAGCAAGATGTTTCCGTCGATCGACGCTGTCGACCATAAAAGAACAGTTAGTGATAGTCATCCCAGTGTTGACCTCGGTCATGCTGAAGATCTTCTGCTCAGACGAAGAGTCCTTTAAAACTGTTAACAAGTATGGCGGAAGCTGATTATGTGGTGACGGACAAACCCTCTGAAAGAAACCATGAACACAAAACTGAATCTGCGATCAGTTGATTCGTTGCTTCGCGCTTATTACAGCGCGTTGCGAGGTGCAAAATATGAGTTCGCCGTTACTTAGAGGTTGAAACTTAAAAATTCTACTTCCTCAAGTAGGAAACACTGTATCACCCACCAAGAGAATGGTCAAAAATATGTAAAGTGATTAAAGCGAGAAAGACGAGTAATTTGCACCCGTAATGCCTTGCGTTTTCTTAAATAAACACGTAGAAAGTCAAACGTCTTAAAACAAGCTGAGTTCAACAAATAGTTTTGGGCAGGTGGGATTTTCCAATAACGTAAAAGGAAAGGAAAAATAATTAAGAAGGCGTTTGTGACACTTCAGTCTTCTGATAACAGTACCAGTATGACTAGGCAATAACCTCCCCTTAAAAATATCTCACAATTTTTACCTCAATCATTTAGCCCCTGTTAAGATCTCCTTCCTCGATATCGAAAGGAGAAGGTCACGAATAGTGGTTTGAAATATTATTCTAGCAATGTAAACATCCAAATGTACGTTTGCAAGCAATCTGTTCTAATGTACATTGTTCCCCGTTGTTCGAAAAACGACTAAAGTTCCCAAAGGAGACGATCCATAGTTGCTGAACAGATTGCGAGAAAACTCAGAATTCGATAATGCCTGAACTATCAACCGATTGAGGAGTAGATGAATCTTTGCTTTACAAAGGGTATTAGCAGGTGCAATCATATGTTCAGTCACAAACGTGCACAAAGTCGCATATTAAAACGAAAACAGAGCACGCACTTTATGAAATAAAATCTCTATAACTTGATCCATTAAAAAATTCAAATCTGAAGCTGAAAGAACATAAACATGCCAAGAACTAGAATAAATCCCGGAAGATCACTGCACACGTTTTGATTGAAAAGTTTGCGTGCGAGTGGTTGGTAACGATAAACCACTTAAAGTGTTCAGAATGCTTTTAAAAAATGAAGGTAGATAGAGGTATTGTTTAACACGTTTTGTTTGTAACTTTTCAGATAAATGGAAACGAGTAGATGTTAATGAATAATTCTCGTGACTCTTAGACAACTTTAATATAAGGACAATTTTGAAATGAATATCTGAATTTAAGTCTGGTCACTCAATACCATAACTTTCTTATTCCCCTCTACATCCTACATTTAAAGATTGAAAACTGTTTATTGGGATGTAAATCTCCTTTGTTTTTCCTAATCTGGTATACAGTTCAAAACAGTTTCATCACAAAACAAAAAGTTAAAACAAAGCTTCCTGCCGAAACCATCAGACTATGCTTTCCAAAAATGACACAATAAAATTTAGCAATAGCTTCTTACAAAAGAAAAGTTGCAAATGGCTTTGTCATATTAAAAAGTTTGAAACAAGATATGGTGTCATGATCCCCAAAACACTTAAAGTTGAAAGAAGGGCACAATGCTATGTTTGCATTAGTACTAACAAATGCGACAGAAAATCTACGCATTGTGTTTCCCACACACTAGATGGAGGAAAAAGTATTGCGTCCACATCATGAAAGCAGTTAGAACAATTCAAGTGCGGCCCATACCAAAGAAAGGTATTTGAATAAAGCTCGTTCTTAAAGGAACGTAATAAATAGCATTAAAAAGTTGAAGGATTTTTCAATTTTCCGGGTCACGTTCTACAGAATTTAACCCAAATGACGTCTAGATGATTTAGCAAATATCACTATAGACACCCTTCCTGTTTGTAAAATCTGGTTCAACCTGTCAATAAAATTAAAGAGATACTCATTCCTAATATAAATCACTTATTCTTATCGTTTCTAATTCGACCTCACTTGTATTGATCCGAGACGGTTCTTAGGAACTCTCTCTCATCATTTCCATTGTGGCAAGGCGATAACATTTGATAAATACGTTTCTCTTACAAACAAGACTTGCACTTTTAACGGTTAAAAATTATGTGTGATATGTAGCTATCGTAACAGCGCGGGCGAAGATATCCTCGAGTTGCAGTATCACACGCAAGTTACATGTCAACAGTTTTTTGAACATAGAAAAGACATGACTTACTACAACTACTGGAACGTTTAGAAATATGATTCACACGAGCTTATTACTACCTTGAACATGTATGGTGCTTCAAATGATTTTGGTTCAAACTTAAAGAAAGAAACAAACAAATTAGAGTGCCACATCTTACACTGGCGGCTTTGTTAATAACCTCCCGATACCTGATCATGCTTATGGCACTATTATCGTTGTGCTCAAGTTTATATCGAAAACAGCGGGATGCCAATCGATCAAAAGGATAATATTACAAATATATGTAAATTTGACCAGGGATTATCAATATTAAGACGAGGCTTTAGGATATTGATTCTTTCGGCGAATCGAAGACCGCGTTTTTATCTCGAAAATATTTCGCGACACCAAATTGGCTAGGACTGGGCTAAAACCGCTGTCTTAAAAGGAGAATTCCCGTAAAATTAAAGTGAATTTTCCTCTCTACGAATCCAAACGAGTTTGCCGAGGAATTTCTTGATCGATAATTATGAACACTAAGCTTACGTAACTACAAAGATTACAAATCATAATTTAATTTAGGTTTTTACTTCCGCTACAAAACAAGGAGAGATTCAATGAGTACTGTGACTGTCGCTAAATAGAGCTGATTATCGACGAGTTCCATTTTGAAACGCAACAAGAATATTTTCAGGCATGGATTGCCTTCTTTACCACAATTGGCAGTAATGTTGCAATCTAATTAGCGAATTTGCCGTTGTCGATCAGAATACAGCTGAACCTCGCGAGTCCACAACATTTTGACCACTGACAACGAATATCGTTGTCGATAAGAGTACAGAACACACTAAACCACAGTCGACTGGTTAATTATGCAACCAAAGGTACGACTTTTGGGTGCAAGCCCTGATAGCGCAAAATTTTTTTAAAATCAATAACACTGTTATCAACCTTCAAATTGCGTTCAGAGAAAAGGGTTAGGTCAAGGAAAGTATTTAAGTACGATCTTTCTTATTTTCAGGAAAAATTGTTCTGCTGAGGTACTGCAAAGATACAAGCAAAGTGGTCGCTTTTTGAAAAATTTGAAGCAAATCAACGGGGCCAAGTGATTTCTACAAACAGTTTTTTTTCTCTAAAACCCTTTGAGTAGTTTTACCATCAAATTTTTGTCTGTTATCTTTAATAGTTAGAAAACAGAAAAGTTTGACTCTGCAATTTCCTCATTTATGTACCCTCAAACGGTGCTCTCCTTTTGCTTGTTGTGCACGCTGTTTTTCCAGTGGGAAAATCTTGCTTCCTTTTTGTTTGTAAGTTTTTTCTATTCGCTTTGCCGTCGTCTTAATTGTTTTTAAGTTAATCATGTTCACATAAGATGCACTTGAATGCCTCTTAAAATCGAGGGAAGCCCTCACTTGTGCCTTTCAAATCGCACATTTTTCACATAAAACAAAATAAAATGAATGAAAAAGATGACTAAAAAGAGAGCACTTACACCGGATGAAGCCAAATGGGTCGTTCTGTGTAAATCTCTTGGAAGAATCCTAGTAAGCAACAGAATAAAGAGTATTCATAACCAGCAGGTAGCCTGTACGATTTTTAAAATTGAAATGATGTTTTTTCGCCTTAACAGCAAGTAAGCAGATAAATAAAACTCTGCCAGATCAACAAACATAACAATTTTATTCAGATGCCTATGCGAATTTCCTCTATAATTAAACATTTACGGTGGTAATCTAGACGGTATGTCGCGGAAGGGTTTTACAAGGTCAAACAGAGTGAACCGACATAGGAAAAAACTGTCTATTTGGTGAAAAATTAAAACATGAGCTGGTATAACAAACTAAAAGTGCAAAACGCACAGAATGTCAGCATATTATTTAGTAAAGCTATAGAAATGAAGCTCAGTAGTATCGAAATCTGGCTACGATATGCAGTCGTAAAGACAACAGTACGTCAAATATAAAGAATTAACGTTATAGGACCTTGATGGATGAGTTTACTTCATAGGGTGGTAAAATATCCTATATGTAATTACTGAGATCATGCAAAACAAGAGGGAGCGATTTCGTAAGCCGCATATCACCATTTTGGTTCATAACCTACATCTTCGAGTCGTTTAGAAGTCTCGCTTTTTTCTCATCAAGCCTTTTTAGCTCTTTGTTTGCTTTTTGCGTTTGGCAGTTTTCTCAGTAGGAAGATGTTTGCAAGCAACTGAAAGAAGATAAACCCTTATTTATCACCGAATGTAACTCAGCACTAAACGTTTTCAAAGCTTCTCACACCAGAAACATGCCAAGTTAACTTTTAGCACACCTTGGATAACAGGAACTGATTCAAATGGCGGCTGCTTCCATCATTACGCCTTTGCAATATTTTTCGGTGAACGTCGAACGAGAACACAAGCCGTGCTTTGTTCCACAATGAAACCAATATGCAAATATTGGTGGGTATATTGTGCACAGTTTGTAGATGTGCAGCTGGCTGCAAGACCTTCAGGAAGACATTTTCAAGGAACTAAACAAAAGACTCTTTGACAAACATCCAGCCACTTGCATCTTACATGCTAATTTTTGATGGAAAAAAAAAGCAGTAGACACAGAAAATTCTCAAACTCGTCTGCTTATTATTCCTGCGTTTTCGTCACCGGGAGATGAATGATGATTTTCAAAGAAAGAAGTAAAGCACCGACAGGGAAAATTAATTTGATTCACCTGTCGTGCTATGGCAATAGACCGATAAATTGCTTCCCACTGCTCTTTTTAGAGGTTACTACTTCGAGCATGATCTTTCTAAGTTTTGTTTTATTTCCAGCATAACAGCAAGGTATGACAAATACCTTGTAGCGTACGACAAAATCGTGGAAGGGAAAATTGTTGAAAGGAAAAACGTAATTAA